CTTTCCCACACAGGGAATTCCCCAAACCCAAAGCAAAAATGGAATGCAATCGACGATAACACTAGCTCACTATTGGGAACATTCACCCCACATTAAAATCTGAACTGCTTCCCCACCAAAATGTTCTGCAGACAGAAGTGAATCTCAATGGTCTAGTTCTGGCTTTGACCAGGATGGCAGTCTTGTTTTGTGGCATGACATCGAGTCATCTGCAGAAAAGGAGTCTAGGCTGCTGGTGGATCTATGCTAACCCTAGCCCTTTGTGGATTCTAGCAAGAAGCATGTCTGCTTTGTTTTGTTTCTAAGCGTGTGTGTGTGTGTGTGTGTGTGTGTGTGTGTGTGTGCTTGAAAAAGGGAGAGGGTGGGGAGCATGAATGAGGGCAAGTTGAGACCTAGCAAATTGGACATATAATGGGGTTTGGGTCCCTGACAACCCCAAAATGGACTTTCTGGATCCTGTCCCAAGGGGCTTCCATGTTATAGTTGACCATCTCAAATAAATCTGGTGGATGAGAGATCTTGGGTGAACTCCAGGGGGGGGCTTCAAGGGAGTTGATGTGATTGTTTGGTGAGGGAGGGCTCCTCCCACATCTTCACTTCTCCTGGAGGCTGCAGTGCTGGGAGGAAGGGTAGATGCCAGTCGAGCTTAACCTCTCTGAGCCTCAGTTTCATCGTCTGTGGAAGAGTGTTTTGGAGTGGCATTGTTCAGGGGATTCACGAGAAAAATCTATTGAAAGCATCTAGCCCTGTGCCAGGCACTTAGCCAGTGCTTAAGCTCTCGTAGCTATTTTAGACTCCGGAATTCATCTAATACCACTGGCGTCAGAGTACACCAAAGGGAATGAGAAGCCCAGCCTTGGCCTCCTAGCCCAGGTCACAGAGCTCCCGGAGAGGGTGGAGCTGGGAGTCCCAGACCTCCCCACTCCAGGCTCTTTACTGTGCCCACTGACTCTCTGGACTCACTCATTCAGCTCGGCCAGCACCTTGGGCATCACAGCTCCTGCCTTCCACCTTGGCCCACCTCCATCTGCTCAACTCCAAGTCCTGTTTCTCTTACCGCCTCAGAAAAACCCCTCCTGACTCCCTGCCTCATGGCCATTGCAGGCATTCTGTCCAGAAGATTCTTCTCTTCTTTACCCATGGCTGCCCCTTTGCCATGGCTGCCCTATACGTTTCAGCTCAGTGCCCACGTCCACTACCATCCTAGCTGAATTGATGCCATCCCCAACCTCCCATCTCTTTCTCCCCCTCTTTCCAGCGTGTAGCCTGTCAGCACTTCTAGTCTACAGTTTTCTTTCCTTTTTTACTATCTGTCTCCTTTCCCGAGTGTAAGCTCCAGAAGGACAGAGTACATGTGTCCCAGCTCCTGGCATGAGGCATGCATGACGCAGAGGTGCTCAGTCCACATGCCGGTGGATGAACAAGTGAATGAATGAACGAATGAATGAACCAGCGGACCAATTTCAGAACCAGCATCCTTCCTAAGGCCTGGAGAGACCCTGCAGAGGATGCTACCTTGCTGGGAGAGGGGCCGGGCACCTGCTTGTCCTCCTCTCTGGCCTCCTAAAAGAACAGCGTGAAGCTACCTACAGACAGGGGCGTGCCAGCAGGCAGGCAGCCCCCACAAAAGCACATCTTGCGGGCAGGGGAAATGGGCGGGTAGTTGCTAATTGCGACTTCCAACTGGGCTGATCTTTCCCAAGTTCCAAAGGCGCCTGCCTCCAGAAATGCGGGCTGCTGCCACTGCCGAGGGAGGGAGGGAGCCGGGAAGAGGGGCGGGCGCCTGGGCGCCATGGCTGGCACACGAAGCCCCATCTCCTCCCCCTCCTCCCCCCAGCTCCTCTCCAAGAGAGGAAGCGATGCAGATGGAGATGAGAAATAAATATTCCTGCCTGCTCCGTGCCACTGCAGTTTCCAAAATGTCTGGCTTGGACCACGGAACCAAGCCCAGGAAAGGAGGCGCTCAGCGGGAGGAAGAGGGGGAAAGGGTGGCATATTTGTCGATACTTGTCAGCTTTCTGGGGGGCAGAGCACATGGCTCATCTTTGGCAGCCCCGTGGGGCGGGGATGTGGTAAGTGCGCAGTAAGACTTGCAGAGTGGAGCCAAAGTGGGAGCCAGGAAGGGAACCCTGCCAGGTGGCACCCTGAGGTTCTGCCTTTGTCCGGGCTGGACTCTTGGTTCTCTCAGCCTGGATGGCTCTCCCCACAACACCTGCTGCCCTGTTCCCTGTCCCCTGCCCTCCTCCAGGTAATCAATGTGGCTGGGCTGCAGGGAGGCTCCTGGGCCTCTCAGATTTGGGCAGGAGCTCAGAATCCACGCGTAGAGATGTTCCTGCCGCCTCCAAGCACAGCTCGGGCTCCAACACAGGATCCACAGGAGACCAGAACTCACACTGCAAATGATAAGTGGGTGCTTTTGGCCTGGGGGTGGCCACATGGGTGGGAGAAGCATCACCCGCAGGTACAGGCCAGCAGAGGCAGGAAGTGACCTGCAGTAGGGGGGGGGGGCTCCACGAGGCATGCCCTGTGGCTGCAAAATGTCTCAGAAAAGTGAGAGGAGAGGGTGACAATGTCTTGGCTGGGACACTCCTGCAAGTTCTGCGAGGTCTTCTTTGTTTCACACGCTCCCGGGAGAATCTCCTTGATGCCAGGCCCTCGGCATCGCTGCCATGGGACCACCTTTTACTGGTCCTCCGAAGGGCAGTGATTCAGGTGGGGCCCTGGTGGATGGGATGCTGCCCAGGAAGTGGCAGAGGAGCTTTGCTGGGTCCAGGCAGAACTGCTGCTCAAAATAAAGACTCGGAGAACGTGATGTGTTCTGTGGGAGTCAGGGAACATCTTCCGGAAGTGCTGCCTGACGTTCTGCCTCTTTTCACCATGTCCATGACTTCACCGAGGCAGGAAAGATTATCTAATATTTCCCACTCTTGAGCCCTGACTCCTTCCTCAGGCATCTTCGCCACTCCGTTGCCCATCTGCCTTCTAGTGCCAGGCAAGTGCCAGCTGAATCCCACTCTCCTCAGGAAGCTGTTTGGCGGTGGGGGAGAAGCTGGCAGAAACCTGGGTTCCTGCTCCCAGGCTGCCCATTGCTGTGTGACCTTAGACAAAGCACTCCCCCTTTCTGGGCCTTGGTTTCTTTGTTTGTCAAGGAGTGGGTTGGTGGGTTTTCTTTCACCGGTGACACATTATGAGTGGTTCTACAGAGTGAAATCAGATACAGCTCCTTTGGTCACCCCCTCTTCCCACTCCACCTTTGCCAATAAAGTCCTGAGACTGGGGTCATAGCGCTTTCTGGGATGGAGTTCAGTTCTCACCTGGGAAGGTCAGAGCTGCATTTCAAAACAAGATGGGCATGTGGAGACATGGATGCTGTCTAGAATTGTTTTAGATGTTTTCTGTCTACATTTCCTTTAATTCCCAGGAAATCTAATGTATGGGTTAGGGAAAGACCAAAGAAGGGCATGTTTGGAAAGAACTTGTGTGTAGGTATGTCTGTAAATAGTAAACACATTAGATAACTTTTATTAATAATAGCTGCTATTTATTGATACCTACTGTGTGCTAGGACTATGCTAAACTTTTTCACTTGTATTATTATCCTCAAAAAACCTCATGGTGGAAGGCATTATTTACTCCCTATTTCCACACAATGTTGGTAGTTAATTGCAATTAACACACACACACACACACACACACACACACACACAGCAAAATGATACAACAGCACACCTCCCTAAAACCAAAACCAAAACCAAAACCAAAACCAAAACCAAAACCAAAACCAAACCAACCTCAGAGAGGATGAGGCTCAGGGAGGATGAGACACCTGCTCAAGGTCACACAGCTGGTTAATATTGGTAATGGGGTTTGAACCTGATTTTGTTGGATTCCAAAGACGATGATGTGCTACCCTCCATCCTGTGCTGGGCCATGCCTTGGTATTCAATGCCCTTTTAGGAAACTTTTCATAAATGAAGTCTCTTTTAAAGACTCAAAGATAATGGGTCCTAAATGGTCTTTCCTATGGCATTGTCAGAGGACAACAGCTGGCCCCAGAGCCAGCAAGTCGCCTGCCATCACAGATGGCCAGGAGGCCTGCAGCTGCAGTGCCTGCCTAGCACAGGAAGGGACAGAGCACGGGCCCCGGAGCAAGCGATCCACCCCGCTTACCTACAGAGAATTAGGCTGGCCTCTGCCACCACCTAACTAACTTCTATGGCCATTCCCACTTCTGGCACAGAATTAGAGCCTCTTGGAATTTGTACAGACTTAATCATCTGTACCAGAGACGTAAACTCAGTGTCCCCAAGCCCTGGCAGGTCTATGAATGAGCAAGACAGCTTGGAGGGGCTCCAGGAAACTGGCGAAAACATTTGGACTATGGAGGCATTGTGACTGAGCCCCGTAGACGGCTGCTGTGCCCACAGACAGCCCTTCATTGAGCTGCTGACCGTCACTTCATAAAGTCCTGGGACTCGGGCTTCTCTGTGAATTCTCCTGATTGTTAAATGCAGGAAACTAATTCAGTTAAGGAAAGGGTACCTGACACGGCGAAGACCAAATAAAACATATTGACAAGCTCTCTCTGACTCGTAGGTCTCCATTTGCAACCTATAAAATTAACTCGCAGACGAGGAGATGGTAGCTCAGAAACGGTAAGTGTTTTCGCCTAAGAAGCTAAGGTGGGCTCAGTCCACCAGCTCTCCTGGGATATGAATAGAGGCGTACATGTGTGCACATAGTGTATATTCACAGATGAAACAGAAGTGGTTTGACTTGCCGGCTGCTATGAAGTGTCCTGCTCCTTCTCCTGGTGTTATGAGTACATACTGATGGTTGACTGAAATCCGAACACACACACACACACACACACACACACACAAACCCAATGCTACAGCAGCCCCCTCCTCATGTCAGCTCCTTGACCTTTGCCAGCTCATGCTATCCAGTGGAAGCATTCCATATTTCCTTAACAAAATGATGTAAACCTTTTTACTTACGGTAAATGACAAGAAAGAAGAAAACAACGTCCCTTCGTCATATCTGGATAATTTTGCCAACACTCCTTCCAAGATAGTAACAAACTAGAAAAACCGCAAAGGAGAGAAAAGAATTAGTGCTTTGGAGTAGAACTGCTCACGATAAAGAGCAACATTTTCAGCCGGCACGGAGCCTCTGCTCACATTTGCCTTCTATTATGTGATTGCAGCCTGCGGAGCGGAGTAGACGCTGCTACACAGAAATATTTGACTTATCCGGCTTTCTCTTCATTATTATGTGATTGCAAATAGAGAGTGCTCCAGAAGTGCAAAGTGACAAAATATTATTGCGTTGCATATAGCATGCGATAATATTAAATGCACTTTTCAAAATCCCAAACTGCGCAAAGCCGTCTTTATGTTGCATATTAGCACTACATTTAATCCAATCTATTTTTATTTGTATTTTATCAGTAATTTGGGGGAAACAGAAGTTTAGCACTGGCAAATATAAATGTCTTCCCATTCAACATTACTTAGTTAAAATTCTAGAATTCATGAGGGTGACTGAAATAGCTTTATCTGACTTTTCTGTTTTATTATGACTCTCACTGCATGTGAAACTAGGGGGAGGGGGTTTTATGATGGCAGAATTCCTTATTACCATTTAACTTTCTGTATTTAAAAAAAAAAAGAACTTTGTCAATGCTGAAAAACAAAACAAACATTTCCCGAATAACCTAGAGCAGCGTTTGGGGACAAATTCCTATTAAGTTAACATATGCCACTTCATCGCTTCATCCCCACTCGGCTCCCAATCATCAGAAAAATCCCTCAGCGCAGAGGCTGGGCGAGGCACAATTCTGTTTCCTGAGAAATGCGAGTACCCAGCTCAACTTTATAACGTGTGACATTTTAATGGGAACACAGACATAACAAAGCAATGCTCCCAACGAAACATTTCACCTGGAACGGAAAGTTACCTTTGCCACCAGGAGTGTTATCATTTCTTTAACGGTTTCTTCAATGAGTTCGTCTATTTTTGAATGGTACTGATGCTGAAGAACACAGAGAGGCAAATATTAGCGTGTTTAGGAGGTGATGGTGTGGCATCCGCCGGTAATTTTTAGACAACACAATTTATATATACATCAAGCCTGGCCTGCCCACCCCGTTCCTTTCCACAGTCCCAGATGCAGCTGTAGGATTCTGACTCTGCATCTTTGATGAGGAGGGATTCGAAGCTTAAAAAAAAAAATTACGGGCACATTGCTCCTCACCCAAAGCGTTCCATTGCGTTGATATGTGTGGAGACATACACGCATTCACAAAAGCTGGCATGGAAGGCTCACAGCCTCGCAGCGCCTCGATCTGGGTCGTACAAAGCACGATCCCACAGGAATTTAATACAGGGATGAAAATCATCTTTGGGAAACTGCTGGGAGATGTGGCTGAGGAAGTACACCCTTCCAAAGGGAATTGGACCAATGCTCTGTGAATCACTTTTGCTAAAATGGTTCTAAGACCTTTGGCTATTTGAGGTTAATGCCTCCGTGCCCCTCATCCCACCTCTGTGTGCTGACTCGAGGCCCAGGCAGTGTCTCTTTCTGAACCCGGGGGGGGGGGGGGGGGCTGACACTCGTTTTTCTCCATCATGGGCAAGCAGACCCAGGCTAAGAGCACTAATGAGACTGCTACTAAGTTTTTCAAATTCTCTAACTGCTGCTGTCGGTTATTAAATTTAAATAGTAATGCAAAAACAAACCCCACACAAACAAAATCTGCTGCACATGCCAGGAGGAAAGAAACAGCGATTTCAACAGAAAGCACTGTGTGCCAGCTCCTTGACATTTATTAGATCAACTCGGTATCCATTGAATTATTCCGTATTTCCTCAATGGAAAACAACAATGCCAAACACCGCTCTCCGGAAAGAAGAATGCACTTACCCACTCGTTAGCAAACTTTCAGAGGGATGAGTAATTAGGAATTGAAAGAAAAGGGAACAATGCAAATCAAAATTAGGACAATCCGGCACATGAGAAAAGAAAAAATTAAACCATCCAGAAAGCTATGAAAACATGCAGAAATAATAAGCCATAGTAATAATGTGGTTTGATAATCTGATAACTAGTGATCAGAAGTATTGAAAGGGAGCAAAAGGATATGAATTAGGCTGATTCATTTCAAGTCACAATGGAATTTTATTTGTAATTGGAAGACCTAGACCAAACCCCAGTGCAAAGTTGGTTAGTTATGTTGCCTAAGAAAATATAGTTCGGTTTCTTCACTTATAAGCACACACACACACACACACACACACACACACACACACACACACAACACTCAACAGATACTACTTTTTAGGAACAAAGGGGGAGGGGGAGGAACCAGTACAAATTACTGATGATTTTGTAATGAGAATGAGGCAGACTCTGTGTAAAGATATTTAGCAGGTTTCTTTCTTTCTTTCTTTCTCTTTTTCTTCTCTTCCTTCCTTCTTCCTTTCCTCGTTCTTTCTTTCTTCTTCCCTCCCTCCCTCCTTCCCTCCCTCCCCTCCCTCCCTCCCTTCCTTCTTTTCTTAATTCCCATTCAAGGATATGTTCTTATTGATTCCAAAAAGAGAGGACAGCAGAGAGAGAGAAACAAACAAACAAACAAACAAACAAACATTGATTGCTTGCCTCTGATATGAGGCCACATGGGATGGTTGGGGATTGAACCCACAACCTAGGTATGTGCCCTGACCTGGAACTGAACCTGTAATCTTTTTAGTGCACAGAACAATGCACCAACCAGTCAGGGCTATTAAAAAATCAGAGTCAAGTTTTTTTCTCCTGGTAGTCCTGCTCTTAGAATCATAGATCTAGTTTGAAGATGTACTGAGGGTCTAGATGTGGAAACATTTTGTCAACTTATAATTACAATCACAATATTACCAGTATTTGTAGAAACTCATAAAGTAGAAAGAAAGAGTAGGGGGAGATGGTCTTATAGCTCAGTCATCTCATTTTAGTTGACTAGAGGAAAAAAAAGCAAATGGCGCATGTTGCACAGTGCTGATAAACAGAACCCACATTGGCTCTTTTGTTAACGTCACAAAAGCATTTCCTAGGAAGTTGGCAGAAACCTGAAGCTAAATACAAAAACGATCTGCAGAGTTCTGTGCTAGAAACACAGGAAGATGTCAGAGCAAAGGACCTCAGGAATGTTGACAGGGCTCCCAACTCATTGTTAGGTCTTGTGGTAAGATCCCGAGTCACACCCTCACCTGCCCTCACGTGACTGCACTTTCTCCCAGATTCTCTTTGAATTGCTATAAGTGATTCACATTTATGACATTAATGCTGAGATTTAATTCAGAAAAGCTAGCTGTAGGCAAAAATAACACAATATGAAATATTAAATGAGGGGCTTCTAAACAAGCAAAGAATATCATTGAGAACAGAAACATTCTCTCAAAAAACTTAGCTGAAACAGCAGAAAGAACCAAGAGCATGTTCTCTATACATCACTCACTGAAGATTCAGGCACGATCTGTCCTGAGGAGTTAGTTAACAATGTCTTTTCTGAAAGACAAATGAGTTTTCTCTTCCCTTTTCTAAGGAATCCAGATGAAAGTATATGGAGACATGGTGTTTGTGGGACCCTTTCCTTGCTCTCATGTTTTCCATGCCAAAGTTGGCTCTGACTCCTCTGGTCCTCCCGGGTACTCCCACTGTCTCTCCCTTTTACTGTCTATGAATATATTATCTCCACTCCTGTCCACATTTCTTTTATTCTGCTTATAAAAATGGATTTTTAAAACATATATATATATATGTTTTTAAAACATATATATATATGTTTTATTATTAACATATATATATGTTAATAATATATATATATTATTTTTTTTAATTTTATTGATTTCAGAGAGGAAGGGAGAGGGAGAGAGAGATAGGAACATCAATGATGAGACAGAATCATTGACTGGCTGCTCCTGAATGCTCTGCACTGGGGACCAAGCCCACAACCCAGGTACGTGCTCTTGACTGGACTTGAACCCTGGACCCTTCAGTCCACAGGCCAACACTATATCCACTGAGCCAAATCAGCTAGGGCTATAAAAAATGTTTTGATATGCTTATTCTGCTTCTTACTTTTAGAGGAAACTTGAGTATGTCATCTCCGTTAGTCTATTTCCTCATTTCCTCAACAGGGCTAGAATTATCCCTGTTGTGAATACAGAAATCACTACAAAATAATGAAACAATGCATGGACACATGGTTTTGAAACTTAGAAGTGCTAAATGGCAATATTACTGCTGCTGTAACTAATGATTAGCATGGTAGTTACATGTGTGTATTTCTCTAAACTCATCTAAAACCTATATACCTTGTTGTATGTCAATTACAATCTCAATGAAATAAAACCCACTTTGGAGGGATAGGAGGGCAGGGTAATATCTATTCTGCTTATTATGTAGCAAAGGGGGCATTTATCTAAGTAGCCTTCATTCACATACAAGTAATTACCAAATATATGGATTTGCTTTGTCAGTTTATCCCAAGACTTATTTGATTAACTTTTCTGAAGCAACAGAGAGTACTCTGCCTTTAATCTGCCCTTTCTCGGGAGAGTAATTGTTCCATACAGCTGTGATGCTCCTGGAAGGAGTATAAGTACTATCGGATATCGTTTACTTATCATCCTTCTCCACCCCCCGCTAGATTATCTTGTCACAACATTTTTTGCAGTCAGATGAAATATCCAATTTGGGTACAAAGAGGGCTCTTCCTTGTTTTTGCATTTTTCAGTTCCTTCTGCTGGCTTGATAATAATAATTGACTTGATAATAATAATTAATAATAATAATTACAATAATAATAAATTATATTCTGAGGCCCTAGATCATGATTTAGCAAGGGAACTACTAATCTTCAATGGTTTGGGAAGTTCGCTTTTGCTTCTAATGAGCTAAGTTGCTGCAAATTCACAATCACACCGCGAGAATCCTTCCCCTTGACTCCCAGTGCTGCACATTTTGCCTTGTCATGGAACAGATTGTGTGTATGTTGTCTTTCTGTTAAGACCATCTGACCTTGGAAACAAGACGAAAACACTCTAGACCAAGTGAGAAAGTATTTAATATACAATTTCCTCTCTATTGGTGCTTTGCAAATTTTAATGAAAAAATAAATATTTAAGATGGAAAAGTATGGCTAACAAATGTTTCAACAGCTGCCTTTAGATGCTACTTTACCCCAGTGATGAAATTCAGGAAGTGATTGAGAACTGGAGAATCTATTCTAAAACTCCTTGAGGGCATTGGAATCCAGGTGGACGCAGGCATTGGTCTATAATAGACTAGATTTATAATAGGAGTTTATATCAAATACTCACAAAGTGAAAACTCCAAAAAAAATTAAACTTTTATCTATTTTCCCAATTCCAGTGATCGCCTTTGGCCAATGTTGTTCTAACTGTTCAGTTTTACTTTGGAGATAAATGTCCCATTCTAGAAAAAGGGGAGAGCTGATGAGGGACCATTCACATGAGGCTTCTCACTGAAGTTCTACTCAAGGTCACAGCCTCAGAGCAAGGTCCCTCAAAGGACTTATTTCCTATCACATATTTCCAATGAAGTCTTTCGTTTGGCCTGACAAACTTCACAGGCCCCTTGAAATTGTTTGTGAAAGTATTTTTTTCCTGGGAAATGGCTCCATAAATTTCATGGAGCCACATGAATAAATCTTAATACTATGCATGACAAAAGAAGGCACAAAAGGCCACATACTAGTATATTCCATTGATAGGAAATGCTCAAATAGGCAAGTCCTTATAGAAATTGAGTGCGGGTTACCTGGGGCTGGGGCCGGAGGGTTGGGAATTATACCAATAGGCCCAGGTTTCTTTTTAGGGTGATAAGAATGTCCTGCAATTGATTGTGATAATGGTTGCACATTTTTGTGAATATACTAAATGTTACTGACTTGTAAACTTGAAGAGCGGAATTTTATGGTATGTGAATTATATCTCAATTTTAAAAAATAAAACTCCAAAGAGAGAAAAATTCAGGAGGAGAAGGAGTCTGGAAGTCACCCACGATTCTTAGAGATCATCTAAAACAGGTTTTTGAAGTGGGCTCTGTGAAGCCCAAGAGATGGTTCAGAGTCGCCCAGAGAAATGTGAGTGGGTAATGCCCCGACTGCATCCAGAAATTTTATTCGTCTCACATGCTGGCCCTCCCCTTTTCTTCCCCCCAGGTAAGATCTGAAGAACTGATTCTGCATCTAAAAGCAGCCTGAATAAAACAAGAAGAGTGCTATCATTTTACAGATGAAGAAACCGAGACCAGCTCTAGTGGGCAGCACAGCTCGGGTGAGACCCCTCACCAGGAGGCTGTCCCCAGCCTGAGCCTTCTCCAGGCGGCTGACCTTTGGCCCGAGCCCTCTCCTTCACTCAGGTTTGGATACTGAACCTCCAGCCAGTGGTTCTTACGGTGTGGTCTCTACACCCGCCAGTGGCATCAGTATCACCAGAGGAAATGAAAACCCTTGGACCACACCCCAGACCTATTGGGAATTCTTGGGGTGAGACCTAACAATGTGGATTTGAGAAGCTCTCTGATTCGTCGGGTGTACTGACGTTAGATCTGCTGCTTCAGATCGCTCACCTGCAGCAAAGGGAACCGGCAAAGAGAACCCCTTGCATGTGACCCAAAGCCTAACCCTGTGGAAAAGTTCCCAACCAGAAAATCAGTCAGGAGCAGAGGCTCACAAAAGTAGTGGATGAAGCTGATGGGTGGGCCGAGGGGTGGTGGTGGTGGTGGTGGGGGGGGGGGCGAGGAGCTTAAAGATGATCGTGCCACGAAGAGAATACCACCAACCCACATTTAAAAATGGAAGGTGCCGAAAGAGAAAATAAATAACGAATAAAGAGCAAATATAATTTAGTAAAAAATTCTGAGCATGTAGGGCTGGTATCGAAAGATCTGATTTAGGAGCAATTTATGCCAATTGGCAACAACATGAGAGTTGCCAGAAATGTTTTTGAATTAATTCTAAATTGGTATATGAATATCTAGCTGGCTTAAGGCCATCAGAGGAAAATGATCACGATGGTCTTTAATCAAGCCCAAGTTGCTGTTTCTTTCTCCTTTACATTTTAAATGCCATTCTGGAACTGGGAACTTAGCAAAGGACTAAACTTTTGGTCAGGGAAGATGCACAATCAATCTCGGGGGGCGGGGGGAATTGCTGTGATTTCTTACAAATTCAGAACCTGCTGCTGGGGACTGGGGAGCAGGGTGATCTAACATTACAGATCCTGGAAGATGCTAGATTCAAAAAAGGGAGCTCTCCTGCTGTCCAGATGTTCAAAGTGATAAAATACACTTCAAATGTGAAAATGGCTTGCATTCTGGCAAACATCTGTTGGAGATACCAGCCTAATAAATGAGATGATCAAATATCATTGGACTTACAGGAATTTAATGGCCATTCCAATTCCAGCCAAGAATCACTACCAAGTCACTGGCATGCTCATTAGCACAAGCCTTAGACATTTACTGAACAAACAGACACCAAACATTCACTTGCGGTTTAGCACTCTACAAATGCTAGAGTATATTTCAGAAACTAGCAGACTAGTGTAGATGGAAGGAATTTGTGAAGTTTTCTTCTACATGATCAATGGCTGTGGGGTGGGGGGGAAGGTGTAAGGGAGGAGAAATCTATATATATATTTTTTACCTCTTGGCCCATTTCCATGCTGCAAAGTTTTGTTGATTGAGCTTTGGCATCAACCATAACATTAAACATGGTGCATATTGACTGTGGGACTCGAAAATCTGTTGATCGACTGGTTTTTTGCAGCTTAACTTCAAATGCAATCCTGGTTCTATTAAAACAAAGTAGGAAAAGACCAATTCAGCATGCGGATGGCAGCAGGAGGAGGAGACATTTTCTGAGGGGTTAGTGGAAAAAGAAAATTGAAGGCTGTAATCAGTTTCCATCGACAATGACTTCACGTGTGTTTTTTAAGAATGACTCTCCCAGCTCAGGAAGGCCTATGCAGGGAGACAGCCACGCTCACCCTTCTTTCCCGGCAGTGCACGGGACACCTGTAGCTTGGCGTATTTCTGTCTATCGCTCATATGCTATGGATAACTCTAATTGCAGGAGAATGAAGGAAGGAACAAAAACCCAATTATAGCATCATAGCATATGTACGTGCTCTCACACTGGCAACTGCCTACCTTGAATCCCTTCATTTAACACCCCCCCCCCCCCAAAAAAAAAAGCAGTTTCTAATCTTCACAATCTCCTGGTGGGGAAAAACATCTTAAAAGACACATTGTTTTATTTATTTATTAAATTTACCCTGGCTTTGAAAGAGACTGAAGAAAAAAACAAAACACCAAGCTTATTATATTGCTTTAAAGACTAAAAAATGAGATGACTACCTTTGTAGAGGAGAGTGAAAGCAGGGGAGGTGGTAAGAGGGAACTTACATTATGCTTGCTTACTTGTTTGCCTTGCCAGGTCAATGCTTATTTTGCAATAAAGAATACATTGTATTTATAAGTAAAAATGTCATACTATACTTTCCAATTCAAGTCTTGACTAATGGTGGCAATTTACTGTGACATAATTCTGACTTAGGTCACATTGTGACCCCAGCAATGTGCTAACCGCTTGTGGAAAAAGCGCGGTCCGAAATGGCCAGCTGGTCTACCAGCATGAGACCTCATCCTTGACATCAGCCGGCAAAGGGGCCCGGTGATGGTTTGAAAGGTTTCAGAGAAGCGGGTCCCATCCTCATCACATGTCTTCAGAGAAAAGCACCTGGTGAGTGAGTGGCTTTACTAAAGGTCCTTTGTCCAATGCCTCTTTTCAGCACCGTCCCCGGGGTTCTGGAGATCACGCAGCCACCGGGAAGGCATCACTTTAAGAGGCATTGGTAGCAGTTTCCTCACAGTGCAGAGAGGGACCACACAGCTAGCTAGCTCGGAGAGGATGCCAGCTTGCTAACACACCCTGGGTGCACGAGGGAAGCCAAGTATAATTTCTAAGGTTGGAAGCCCAGCTCTTAAGAAAACTACCAGAAAGATGCATTAACACACTCCTATATATTCTATGATCCTGTTAAAGATAAATGTGTCTTGGCTTCTAAAGACTCGGTGCACTGATGTAGTTTTCTAATCACGATGATCATTTTAAGCTCCGCTGCAAATACATCGTTTTCTGGTTTGGGGCAAAGGAGGCCTGATGGGGACTGAGTTGGACAGATCCCCGTGCTGATCTGAGATTCCCTGGCCAGGCACGGCCCAACTTGAGGAGGGAAATGCTAAATCAATCCCTTACAATGAAGTAATCATCTTCTGCTTTCACAGGAGAGCTGCTCATAGCCCTTAGAGCGTGGGGCTGTGAAAACAGGCAGCCGGATGCAAAATTAATATAACCGAGAAGGCTCTGCGGGACAAAAGGCAGGAACGGAGGGGTCATTTAATCCAGCTGAGTTAGGGCGCCATGTTCTGTGTGGAACACAGTGCCTGATATAGACTGGACTAGAGGCTCTGTCAGGTTCATGAAGTGGATGATGTCATCAGGTGAGTGATTTCAATTTCTTAGAAACTTGGCAGTTTGGTGTTGCATATTTACATCCATGAAATCATGTCCTTACTCTGCTATCCTAGAACAGGGGCCCTTTATTCTATCCCAAAGAGAAAAGCCAAGGTGCTAGGCTCTCCTAATGTGGGCTCTATGTCTTCAAACACCCACATGCTTCATGTCTCACCCGCTGGCCCAGGCTGTCTGGGGATGACATTGCCATGCATGTATGCTCTTGGCTGGTTTGTGCTTAGACTGGGGCCTGAACTGGAAGGGACACCAGGGTCAGCAGTACATGTGCAGATGATCAACTCCTAGTAATAAACAGTTACATAATAGCAACCATGAGTCAAGCATGATGCTGGGACCTGGGATGGGTGAGGAGCTCAAAATGAACGAGATACACTGCCTGCCACTGAGGAGTTCACACTCGTTGAGTGGCTGACCACGATCCCACCTATATGTCATCTGTTATTACTTATTATCTATTCAAAAGAATGGCTCTCCAGAGAAGGGCATGCGTGTCTTTTTGTACAACTGTGTGCACAGATGAGATGCTAGTGGGCCTCATTTTAATGTCCCAGGGACAGCCAGGGGAGAGTGTTTTGCCAGAGGAGCCATTTTGACAAGCAGTTTTGTGTGAAATGGTTTAGCCATAGGAAAAGATTAGCTTTTCCTAAAATTGAGTCAGACTCTGTAGAAGATGGTGAGAGTCAAAACCCTAAGGAAACATTTTGACCTTAAGGTTGAGAAATAGGCCTGTCTTGCATCCCAAGAGTGGGAAGAAAAGGACAAAGCACAGAATCTGGATCACCGGGAGTGAGTTTCCTGAGGATTCTCCATAGCACGTCGCTCTTTCTCTAATTCCTGCCAAGAAATTCACCTACCAGCGACTATGTCATTGTTCTGCCTTTTGGTTCTGGTTTTAATGCTATTACACCCCTTTTCTTTTTCCAAGATACAACATGATGAATTCAAAGCAAACCCAGTCCCCAACTCCCACAACATTTACTAAGTATTTTGTGGTCCATCAACTAAATTATACAACATCTGGAAATCCAAGTGTCCTGTGATGCTTATGGCCTTCTTTTTTTGAATGAGGAATAATAATGGAATTGTTGGGAACTGGCAAAAGCACTTGGACATGCGTCTGGGGACAGACAGGATGATGATAATGGTGTCATGTCGGAGGCTGTATGGATATAGACACTCCATGAAGGAAGGGTGCAGTCCTTGGTATGCCAGGAACTCAGGGCTGTGTGGAGAGGACGAGCTCAAACAATTCCTGTAGAAAGGATGTGTGCCATTCTCCCGGCCTTCAGAACAGCCCACCTAGGGACTACCCATGCAGCCTTCCCACCTCAACCCCACAATCCACTGGGACAAAGCAGGCAACATGTCTCATGCCTTCTTGTTGATATCTAGTTAGATTTTGCACAAGACAACTAGTAGCGGGTAGGTAGTATAGGCTGGGTTCACATATAGAGAATGAATGCTGCTGCTCAGGTCCTGCCCACATGACTGGAAATTCACTAGATTCCTGCTCCCACACTGGATTCGCTGGCTCAGGAATAGGATGTGCTTCTTTGATTTCGATCTAGCTGCCCACCACACATACCACACTCCTACATTTAAATTATGTTTACTAAGTACTTTGTGCCAGATGCTGCTAGATGTCAGAGATACAAATAAGAACTGGCATGGAGTCTTTCCTATGGAACTCAGTGAAATGACAGCCACATCGTTTGCTTGGGGCAGCTGAACAGAAGCTGGACTTGGGTAGCCACCACTCCCAGGGACTTTGATACGGAATCACTTTCTCAAAAAAACTCCAAATCATGGCCAATTAGCCCTGCCCCTGGCCCGTGTGTGGTGGGAAAGGCGTACAGCAACCGCCCAGGCACAGGGCTTACCTTTTGACACAAGACTCTATCATGTCACTTGCCATCAGCTTCAGCCGTTGCTCCAGGTGCTTCCCAAACTCTTCCTCGGGCCAGTGTAAGTCCCGAATGAAGGTCTGAAGGGCATCGAGCTTCCAGAACAGATCCTCTGAGGTGCCTGATCCGTTGCTGGCAGAGTAAAAATAAAAAAACAAACAAAAACAAGAGTCACCCACTGGCCTTGGGCTCTGAAACGCTGACACAAAGACAACTGGGACTAGAAGGCTTGAGGCAAACAGTAGCTTCAACATACAAAACGACGCGTGTTGGCGGTGGAGGTGGGGGCATTCTCCACCGGCAGATTTTGAGTTTTACCATACATGACCTAGTCGGCTTTGTTCAGCCAATCATTCAGACCAGTGAGAAGTCTGAGGGACATATTGCCCCGTAACGGCCAGGAGAACAGTGTATGGTAAAAATCAGCCTTCTTTTAATAACCACATTAACATATGTGATGATTCAGATGAAGGCCACAGACCAGAGGGAGAAGTAAAGTCTCAACAAATAATAACTACATGGCAACATGCAGTTATTAAAGTTCGGGCTTCATGCATTTCCCCAGCTCCCCTCCAGACGGGGGCCTCTCGGAGACTGCACAGACTCGGAGTCGTAAAGGGACAGTGCTAACAAAGTGGTGAGCGAGGACCTGCTTTCTCTCTTGAAGAGCTGGAGAGAAGAGGAGGTGACTCAGATTGAGACGAGTCCACCTGGACACCTTGAATCCATGCGTCTGCTCAGACTGGTTATCATTCCAATAGACCAGCCCGCTGCACAGGCAGCCCCAGGGTGAGGGTGGGGGTGGGGAGGTGAGTGGACAAGAGATATTTGCAAAGCTTGTTGCTGTTTGTTTGTTTGTTTTTGTGTTTAAACCATTGCACCATCTTACCCAGTCCAGATGGAGGGATTGGTCTTGATTCCGTGCTGTACAATGATGTGTAAGAAACTTTTACCTGGGGCATCCATGGAAAGCCTGCGTGTGGGAAACGCTCCGTCTCTCACCCTCGTGCCCTTCTCTGGCTGGCTTTCTCTTTTGTAACAATGCCATTTGGAGCTCTGAGGGGTGGCCACCTCCCACCCCTTCCTCGCATACCACTAATGCTAACACGGTAATTTATAAAATGTCCAGCACACCATGCATTACCACTTGTTCTGACATCGTCTATAGAAACAGATGAGAGTGGGTGTTTCTATTGTGACAGATGCCAGCTGCATTGAATTAATGCTTCAGAGAGAAATATAGCTAGTGCATAAATGCATACACAGCTACTGCGGGGTGGCGGGCGGGGGGGATGGCTCCCAACATGCCGAGAGGGAGCCTACGGCCTGGACCAACAGGGACATGTTTTCAAGGACAGACCAGTCTGAGGTCAGTACGTAGACGTATCTGACACGGAGGAGCAGGTAACATGGAAACACGACCTTCGAATGAAAGGTGGCAGAGGAGGAGATTGGAATTATGAAAAGATATGGAATCAGGCATTTCCTGGTGGGCGACTGAGAATCTAGGCCTTCTTTTCGGATGCTGCCATACGCATTGCTCCCGAGTGGGGGGGACGCTTTGTTTCTCCGGGGAGCTTCAGCCTTCCCCCTTCCCCCGTCCTAGGCTTGGGAAAAAGAAACCCCAACTTTGTCTAGTCTAAAACCCCGTTTTGGAACTGCATGGTTGTATGTTTTAAATCATTAAGTACATATGAATGCAATAATTGGTATTTATTACAACAACATTTTGACACCCATCTGGTTTCGGAGTTTCAAAAAATTCTTCTAGGGTTTTTTTTTCTTTTTCTTTGAAGAGCTTATTATTAAGTTTTGACATGAGGAAAAGAATATTTTCTTTTTATTTTTAAGATAAACTGTTAATGTTAAGGCAATAGCACCAAGATTATTTTGATTGCTGAGCAGTTACCAAAATGTGTTCCCACTCATGCCTTAATTAATCGACAAGAGACCATTATCTGCTTTATTACAATGTCTTGATTCATATCTTTTCAAAAACAATGCCACAGAGCATGCAGAGAAGGTAAAAAGCTTTCAGAGATTTATTTTTAATTATTAACAGATAATACCTAATCTAACTTTTAATATAGTCATCTTAGCATGAATATGACTTATGGTTGTTATTTTTTTTTAGATTTTTTTCAGCTATAAATTTGTAGAGGTTGTGATTCATCTTTAAAAGAGGAACAGACACACTGACCCCTGTGATTTCATCGTGAACTTGTGAACAAGCTCAGTTTTTAAAAAATATGGGCAGCGCTGGGGGGCCCGGCAGAGTGGTGGCTCTCAGATCCCAAGCTACCTGCATCCCAGCACCGTGGAAAGGTCCAGGGCCATCCTGACGGATGTGCTTTCGAGGTTTCAGAACTCACTGCCGGTTTCAGATCATTTTTTATTCCTTTGATACTAACACTTCCCTTTGAAAACGTGCCAATTTATTCTTTCAAGAAAAAGCTTATCTGGCCCATAATTAGCTGTGGCTAAGAAAAGGATCAAAGGGGGGCACAGCATCGCAAAGCCTTATTTCACTTATTAAATCATGCACGTGGTTCTCATTTCATTTCCCTGAGGTGGAATTGAGAGGTGCTGGATCTTCTTCTTGCTGAGGAAAGAGGATTCATTTCCAAAGCCTGGGGACAAATGGCTGCTCAGCCTCCGTCCCCCTGACCTGCTGGCTGGCATGAAAGGGATGGCTGGGCCTCCAAGTAAACAAACCCCGCGTGGCCCCGGACCACAGGGGATACCACTATCAAAAAACGTCAGTCTTTGTCTGTTCAGCCTTGCAGTCTCGCATTTAGAGACTTTGCTACCTAGGTCTCAGCGCACAGCGCCACATGATGACCTGGGAGAGTGTTACGCACGTGACTGGGGCTTGATCCATTCGGAAATTTTCAGTGAGCCCTCAATGTCCTGCTAGGACAGCCTGCCATTTGCTGACACCAGAAATACACTTTCTGGTTTAAACAGTCTCTGGGGATTATTTATTTATTTTAGAAAAGAAAGCTTCAGGTAGGTGTGCTTCCCTCTTAAATTTGGATCAGGCCAGAGATGACGGGTCAGCCCATGAAAGAGGTTTTCTGGACTATTTCTGGATGAATAACTCCTAAAGCCATGCCACCTGTATTAAAAAACAAAAAAACAAAAAACAAAACAACAAAACATGGGCAGGATCTTTTTGCAAAAAGAATTCAGGAAGTGAAACATAGTCCTCAAGCATTCAGTGGGCGTAAGGAAAATTGTTAGTGCTGTATATATAGCAAATATCTTACAAACACGCCACATGCCAGAAATAAACAATATTGTCTCTGTATGATCAGCAAAATATGTCTAATTATCCCTCTCCATCTCTGTTATATGGGATGTATAGAAATAAACAAGACATATCCATGCCAAGATCACTTAAATTTAAATTAGATCTAATGTGAACTGAATACACACTCAGCATCATATATAGCAGCCATCCATGACGGTGCCGAAAAAGTAGGCATTTGTGGGATGCCTAGAGGGATGTTAACTGGTAGATTTGGTACTTTGGGAAGGTTCACATTGGGTAGGTTCACATTGGGTAGGTTACTGGTTAAACTCCTGTGGAAGAAACAGACAGAAAGAAAAAATACCATCACAGTGACAATGCAGATGAGGCAGAAAAGCACACAACAGGTGTAAATAAACTGGCTAAGTCCACAGCAAGACAACAGCGACACACTTCAGAAAGGAGCCGACAGATGGGCAGCGGTGGTGTGGCTCAGCAGTCGGAGGACATGACGGGGTTCAATGGGGAAATTAACCACAGAGTGACTTAAAAGCATGGACAGTCATGGACACCTCTCCATCATGATCACATATTTCTGTGCCTTTGTGAAGGCTCTGCAGCTTCCAAGTCCATTGCCATGAGCATCTAGAACTTTTCCTGTGCTAGAAATGTGAAGTTGGTGAAATCCTTGGCATTGCTGTGGCTAAGGGTGCTGGGATGGAAAGAAAGGGCGGAGCACCTTATTTTTCTTACGTTTGTTTGTAACCTATTTTGAATGGAGGCACATTCCTTGGGCCAGATATTAGCTACACGATGTAACAGGAAATGCGCCCACAAGGTGGTGGAGGACAGAAACAGAATGCTTTCCAACCACTGCTTCTGAAAACAGCTGTGTGTGCAATGGGGCATCTGAGTTGATGGCAAAGATGAAAGAATTGTATCAAGAATGACTGGCTTCAAATAATTTTACAGAACACTTGAAAACAATGGAAACGTCCCCTCTCAAACTAAGTCCAATTAAAAGGAAGAAATATTGACACATTGCAAATTAAAAACACACACACAAATTTAGCTCTTATAGTCAATGCTTTGGCCACAAGTGGATTTAAAATGTGGCCTCCTGTTATAGTGATTGCCCTCAAACGTGAGATAGGGAGCTTACAATGAATGGCAGGGGCTCCTGGGGTGCTGAGGGGCTGTTTCTTGATCTGTGTGGTTGTTCTATAGGTGTTTTCAGTTTGTGACAATTAAAGATGTATATTTCTATAAGAAGTTAAAATTTAAGTTAAAAAAATGAATAAATCATTTAAAAGTGTGACTTTATAGAAGCTTTTTGTTCTTGAACAAAGATCCATCAACTGATGTGATGAAAGAGAGAGGAAAGGCTTTATGACTGGAGAGAGAAAAATAAAACAAATCAATAACCCCAACTCGAGTCAACCACGTCTCTTCCAAGGACTGTGTCACATGCTGTCCCAGGCTGGCATCGTGTGACTCTGGAATGGCATTTTAAGGGTGTTCATCCAGCCAGAGTCACTGGCACGGTGGAGCCCAGCCTATGCATCTGAGAGGAGCCTTCCTGTGTAAGGAGGGTTGACAGCACTTTGGCAAAGGAGTTGAGGCTTTCTTTTTGGATCTTGCAGAAGAAGAGCGAGTTTGCCAAAGCAGCTCTGCCCGGGGCAAGCTGTGTTTGACTAACAGAACTCTTGCAAGGGCTTGAGCTGCCTCTGGGCTTGCTTGGGGGGCGGGGGGCGGGGAGAGGGGCCGCAAGTCAGAAAATCTGGCTCCTGTAGGAAGTCTGGACAGGTGTCTCCCTATAGAAACAAGTTATTCTTTCACACTGACAATATAGCTTGTAGTTGGAAAAACCTGACTTATA